AAAAAAAAAAAAAAAAAAAGAAAATGAAGAATCAGGATCGTCGGTTGCAAGAACAACAACATGGAAGATATTTCTTTTAGGAAGTAAGGATAAATGCGCCAATCATTGAGATGACAATGCCGAAGATCGTGGTGAATTTCTCTGCAAGATTTGCTGAATTCGTACTTGAGTTTCGTGGTGTCTTACTTTGTTTCGTCTCTTCCTGTAAACAAATATACATTTTCCTTCAATTTTCCATTCAACAAGATGAGAACGTACGATTATAAATTTTTCATTGTATGAATTAAATAAAATAATATTTTCATAATGTATGAAAATGTTATGCAACATTAATAATAAATAATTTCTAATATATTCCAGATGATCATAAATGATAATGCACGTTACATTACCAAAATTTATGAAATTCTGTACTGTTATATTCACCGGGAATGAACAATGAAACTAAATTGAATCAAAGAATTTCCAAATTCCCACAATGCTGAATTCAACGATGCCAGTTAAAAGTTAAATTAAAATTAACGTGTTACCTTAGCATTCAGGTCGACAACATCTTTGACAACCTCGATCTGTTCGAAGAGAGAAAAAAATAATATTAATTCGTTATATGTACAGGGACGAGAGGAATGAAATAACAATGACGTTACATAAATAATAATTGTACGATTACAAAAATATCAGTTACATAATGGTCACGCGGTGCATTTAATTGTTTCCATTAATCAAAACGTACGATTTCATCAACTGTTACCAGATCTTCGTTTCAAAATCAAAGAAATATACTTTTTATTGAAGAAATTATATAATTCTCGAGCACCGCGATGCTAACTTTTATCGTATATCGTGACTGATAATGAAGGAAAATTAACATTACGTTTTGTGCACGTGTGAGTCAGACCTAGCGTGTGAAAGCACGTAATTTTTTTCTCGTAATTTATTTGGTTTATAATGTTGGATAAAGTATTGTTTATATAAAAGAGAGGCAAGAGCGATTTTACCTTAATATTTGGAGTATCAGTCTTGTTGCCGTCATCCTAGACAAAAATGTTTTTATTATTATTTATTAAATTAAATTATTACTAGCCTTCTAAATGTATAATATAATTATTATACATACTATGAAAAAAAATATATATATGTATACAAAATGCCTATAAAATGTTCAAAATCAAAGCTATTTTTTAATATAAAACTATGAAAAACTATAAATTAATGTACTATGTATTACATATTATACTTTATCACAAAAACAAACCTAATAAATAAAATAAGTACAAAGCATAGCTATGGATATATCCAAGTCCTATACCTCAATTATAATCACTCATTATTTCATAATAGTGAAGTAGATACTTACATGGAAAATCGACTACAAAGTTGCAGTTCAGTACAAAAGAGAGAGAAAAAAAGTATAAGAAACATTTATTATGTTGCAAAGCTTTTTTTTTTTTTTAGGAAAATTGTGCACATGGATTGTAAAGAAACAGATCTGGAAAAGAATTGAAACTTTTGTTTTGTATTTCAATTCCACTGTATTTATATCTATTAAAAAAATTTCCTAAAATTCAACTAATTATTAAGAAATGTAGCACGTTTTGGAGAAGCTTAAACACATTATTATCGATTGTAACTAAACTCGTTTCCATCATAGCTTACCTAATTACTAGACTGCGGATTTTCATGTAAATTGACTGTCTTTGAGAATATTATTAGAATTAAGAATTAAAAGAATAGAATGGATAATTGTTTCACGTGCTTTGAATATTTTATATATTTTTTTCACACCATGTGCACTCTCTGCAACTTTGCACTTTAAATATTCTTGCAAATTAAAAAGTAATAATAATAATAAATTAAGTAATGTTGCAATAATAATCGCAATAAATTAAAATTGTGCTGTACATCAAGTCTAAAGTAATCTGATTTAATAATTAAGAA